TACTAGTCATGTGACTCGCTGACGCAACAGCGTTTTGGGCAATGACTGTGGCTCTGAAATGCTGTTTTTATACATTTCTGATTTATATCTTAAAATAGACAAATTAAGAGATTAAGAGGAATGGTTTAAAAATTTGTATAGTTTATATAATTTTAACCAAATATATTATGCCTGTTAGTTTCCAATACCTCACAAACTTTTGGTGTTTAAATTGTACTACAAATTAACCTTAAAATCTCATTAACTTATTTAACATTGACTAGTGATTTTGGGTTTTCCAAAAATATAAGTTTGAAAAAGAAAATATTAATTTTAAGTGATACACTCACTAATGTGTAAAGTAAAGAAAAAAAGAGAGAGTTAAATATAGAGTTTAATTAGCATATTATGTGATAAATATCAATGGAACATTGTCTACATAGTTGTATTAATGGATATAACATAGGCAAAATGAAATTTATTTTATCTATGCAAAATGAAATCTACAGGAGAAATTGATATAAATACACTGCTACAAACTTTTATCATCATCATTGCTAAAACATACATCACAGAAACAGAAATCCATTGGTACAGGGAGGGGCAGAAGGAGTTAATTAAAGGTGTGGCAGATTCAGAATAAGTGTCCTTTCCAATGTCTTACTTTCCTTCCTAGGAAAGGAACCTATAAATTTTCTGATCTCTCACCAATTTTCCTAAAAACAAGTACTTAAAGCAAAACATTTTAGAATCCTTGGGGATGAAAAAACAATAACTTTAGTATCATAGCTGGACCAGTTACTACTATTTAGTTATAGATATCCTAAAATTTTGTGTTGCTACGAGTTTTTAAATTTCAAAAAAGGATAAAAATTATACAAATATTACTCACATTAGAACTATTTGTGAGCTTTATAGTTTGAATCCACATTGGCTGTAGTATCACATAAGATGAGGCGAGTATTTTCATCATCAGCAAAATTAAGCTGAACTGTGGTGTAGGAATTATCTTTTGAGTTCAAACAATGAAACTAAGTTATTTAATGAAGTTCTTTTCATAATAAGCAAATACAATCGTCAAATAAAAATGTTTGGTAATAATGCAATTATAGGATATTATCTTACTCTTTTTTTGTATAGGGCTAGCTCCAAACTTCATCCAGTTTACAAATTAACAACCTGTGCTAAAATAATATAACACTAGATAGTGCCAAACATTGGGTACTAAATTCCTCTTCTAACAGTTATTAACATAAAATAAGTGGCTTAACATTAATTATGGTTTATGTTTCAGAAAGTAATGCTAAATTAGAAACCTGAAAGGTACTTAAATGTTGGGATCTGGTCCTATCCAACCATAGCACTAGACTAAAGATATTTTTTCTGTTCATCCCCAATGATCTAAAAATCTTCGTTTTAGGTATTTTATTGTTAAGAAAATGGGTAGCTGGCAACAGATGTACAAGTAGGGGTCAGTATTTATGTAACCTAGCTAGCTATAGTAATATAGAAAGTTTTAACACTACAAAAAATATTGAAACAAGAAAATCGAAACTACAAAAACTGAGTTACATAAAATTGTAATTATTTTTATATTTACTTAGGCAAATCACTGGAATTATGTTAATCTTAATGATAGGACCTACTGTTTGTTATGATGGCCTTGTAATTGGCCTGGGACTTTGACTTCAGGGTGAAATGACTTTTATGTTCCTAATGTGTGTTATTGTTCTTACATTCTCAATCTCTGTTAGTTATAGTCTTCTTGCCCTGATGGATTCTAATTAATTATATGAAAAGAATTTTATCTATGACATTATGATGAACCTAGTATTACAAGAAGTTGGAAAACTGTTTTATGTCTAACTAGAGTATTATTTTGGACTCCTGTTTGATGGAAGATTATATTGTTTCTCTGTACAATATTCTGCTCACTATGGTTAACATTACTCCTTGGCATCATTCTAAATATATGTGTGTGTAAAATATTTATATATTATATTGTTACGTCTCCGTTTGTTAATTGATTTTCCGTAACTTCGTTCTGACGAAACTTTAGCGACAC